TTAGTCTTTGCAACTTTACAGATCTTCTTTATGCACCAAGAGCTTGTAACACTCCAAAGAGAAAGGAAAAATTGAAATCGCATCATATGACCCCTTTAAAGCTAAGAAGTAGCTGGAAAAAAAAGAAGGAAAAAAAACATGAAAGGCATTTTAAAGGCTTTATCATTTTCAAGATGCCTTTCATACTTAACTGGATGAGACTGTTATTGTGGTCCTTTTCAGTGACCCGAGGCATTGTTGCCTATAAACTGTTACACTTTAGGTGTGTGTTCACAGTGTGTGTGTGTTCACTGCTGTGTGTGTGCACTTTGGATGGGTTCAAATGTAGAGCACTAATTCCAAGTATGGGTCACCATACTTGGCCACATGTCACGTCACTTTCACTTTCACTACATACTGAAGAGCCTCTGTTCAAGCATATATATTTATTGACCGTTTTGTCATGAATCACTTTAACTTTAAGCTAATATGAATTATTTCAATTGTTAAAATATGCTCATTTATACAACTTATTTCTCATGGTTGGTTAAGTGTTAATGTAGTGGTTGAGCAGAATTTGAATGCTTGTTTTTAGTTTTTTCTTTTTCTTTTTTCAAATAATGCATTAATTTCAAAATAAATAAATGGGATCTCTTTAACTTTGACTTCGACAACATCACTTTTTATTATTAAATGTGGTACAATATATGACCAATCAAGTTCATTATTTTGCAATATTGCAATAAAATGTAAATATTGATGTTCCTGACACTGCATAAGAGTAAAAAAAAAACATAAATCTAGTTACTGTTTAAACATCATATTAAGCCCCAAAAGGTGTATTCAGGCTTACACACACACCTAAACAAAAACAACAATATAAGGTATTTAGCTCTGGGAGCAATTGTAATATGTCAACACATTTGTTGTAAATATCTCATAAAAAACATCACTGAGATTTTTAGCTGTTGCTATAACCCTGTCTGGCTCGTGTGTATCTTACACAACAGACACATCTTTTTTTTCTACACATCTACACAAAAGAATATGTTGTCCAGTTGGTTTAGCAATCATGAGCAAATTTGAATCTTTCTGTTCCCTCAAATAATTTAACACTCAGAATTGTCAAATTTTCACGGTGTGTAGCTGAATGAGAAATTTAGTTTTGTTGAATAGGTTTATGTCCGCACTCGTCTGGCTTTTGAAATGGTGTTTCCGGAACTGTGAAAACACAATAGAAGTGCAGATGTGAGGAAGTGCTTTTGTGTGTTGGGATTTGCTGAAATCCAGTCATGATGAAGTCATTAATCTGACCACTCATCTAGTAACCTACAATGACATACTGATTTTAAAGTATAGACAGCTTCTTTTTTTAATAACATGTTTGCAATATGTTTCATAAATGTCATTAAAGTCAGCAAATATTACTCCTGTTTTAAAATAACTTCATGTCTGTAATATCAAGGATAGATATCGACAGTGTTTTTAAAGCTCTTTATGTCTGTCTAACATTTTACATTTTAATATATTGCTTGATTGTCAAACCATTTATCAAAGACAACATCCATTACAGTACCTACTGCTCAAACATATGCTGACAGAGAGTATCTCTGTACAAGGTCACTCGGTTTTTATACATACTTGACTTTAAGATCAGCATTACCATATTTTAGCACCAGCTAATGTAAATCCATAAAATGTGAGGCTCTAGCAGGATGGCATGGCACAAATAGCTTGTAGATAATCTAATTTAACTATTTACCCGTACGTAAACACTAAAAATTATTTAATCATTGAGGGTGCTCCATAAACTTGTAAATAAGAAGCTGGTTGTGCAGGAAACAAAAAAGGGGGTTATAATAACACAACTTGAAGTACAAAGCTCTGTCAGTTAGAAATATATTTGCAAGCTCTGCTTTGAGATGGAAGATACTGATTTATTACTTCAGCAGTGTAACACTCCCTGTAAAACTATTCTGCCTTTAAACCTATTTTCTGATTTAACCTTGAAAGCCTGTGATGAAATGTAATTTAATGTGATATTTTTATATTTCTAAATAAATTTGGGAAAGGCCATAAAATCATATTTGAAATACATGAATGTTTCAGCAGGCTCTGTTGGTTAAGTTTTAGAATGTGGAAGCAAGAAGAAGCTTTTACCCAGAAGAATGATGTGCAGATTGTTAAAACAGAAGGGAGAATCTGAAAAGACTAATAATGACTGATGACTCCAAGTGGCAGGCTGCATGCATTTAGAGGCCAGTTTCTCAAAGGAAAATCGGACAGGATGTTCCCAACAGTGCTATTGATGAACAGGGTGTGAATGCAAAAGGACCAGGCACTGTCCATGCCATCACCATCTGTGTCAACGACACCACTGAGACCTCTAGACCAGTGGTTCCCAACCCTGGTCCTGGAGGCACCCCAACACTGCACGTTGTGCATGCCTCCTTAATCAAACACACCTGATTCAGGTCATCAGCTCATTAGAAGAGACTTCAAGACCTGAAATTGGTGTGTCAGAGAAAGGAGACATGCAAAATGTGCAGTGTTGGGGCGCCTCCAGGACCAGGGTTGGGAACAGTGATCAGTTCTTGTTCAATGTATTTATTTCCCATGCAACAGCAAAATGAAGCATGAAACCTTCATGTATAATAACACCCCGATGGGGAAATATCCCTCCACAAACTCCAAATATAAAGGTATTTATAAGGAAAATGATGCAGCGTACAAACAACAATCAAATCAGAAATTGATTTTTATTGTCAGTGCTCCCTCTCATGTGATGCTGGGGCCAATTGCATAAACATATAGCCAAATATGATAAGATTGTTTCTAAAGAACTAGTTTGACTAACTAGCTATTATTAACTGTGGCAATCTACATTTTTATGTAAATGACTTTAAAAAGTTATGACCAGTCCAAAAAATTAGATGACTAGATGCAACCGGCCAATGGTTCCAGGCATCTTAATCCATGGCTTTTCAGAAGCACCAATAGTGTGAAAACTACACATGACAGTTATGAGGTTAATGCTATTTTTTGCTCAAAACTATTCTTATAAAATACCCAAACTGGATGAAAACACAAACCATATACTATAGCAATCGCATACTAGCGTCATGTGTTAGTTAGTTATGTAAGAAAACAGAACGTGTAAATTTACTGGAGGTTCATCGGAAGGTGCGAATTTTGATGACACAATTGTTATGGATTTGCAGCGAATCATGTCTGTGAGTCATCAATACTGAAAAAAGTCAACTTTAATACATCAGTATAAGAATAATGGACGTTGTTTAGTGATTCCAGTGATCACAAATGGGAGCAAACATGATTTAATCTGTACAGGTATGTGTCTTCTTGTTCTATTTGAAATGTCAATACAGATTGATTGCATGATTTTACAACTCCTGTTATGTAACTTGAGTTTTATGATAAACTGGTCAAATATTGAAGCTATATAGGCCTATAATTATTCAAAGTTTCTTAAAATCAAATAAGAATTCATAATTTTTTCTATAAATGTTACATTAACAGCTGCCAGAAATAGCCTAACTGACTTTATAATCTTCATAGTAGTCTTTCATGTAGAAACTCGCACCCTAAAAAAATAATGGCAAACTCAGTACTGACTGATGAGGTCATTGTCATACTTAGAGTAAAGCAAGACATAATGCCAACAAAACATTATCTTTCAATCTGAATCTTGTTGTTTGCATCATAATGTCAAAGTAGCTAGCAGAATGGCTGACCTATATATATATATGAAATAGCCTTTAAGCCTTTGTTTCCTCTGTAGTCTTACTCAAATATCAGCCTCTCATGTATTGTTATAATAGCATGGCTGCGGTCTCTTGTGAATGTAAGTGATAGCCTATCACTATCAGAATTTTAATTTTTGGGCTCCTTTAGGATAGGGCTTAGAAAAAGGACATGTGGTCTAGAAATACACTATGTGGTATAGAAATTCACTGCAACAAATGCCCGCTACAGATAACAAAATTGAGTTGCATGGTCCCAGGTGAATATTTTAACTCAGGTTACCATAAGCTGCGTGACGCTCAACTCAGGGCTGTTCCACGTCCTCAGACTCGGAAGTAGGGCCTAAATCAGCGGTCGGGAACCTTTGGCTCGGAAGCCACACCTGGCTCTGACAGAAATCATGTGGCTCGCCAGGTCTCTCATCCTTTACCAAGAAATGATGATAAAAAAAAATTAGACACATCACCACACACATTTAGCTTTCTGCAGAAAGGAAAAAGTTTAAAATAATAATTTTACATTTGTACCAGTCAAGTGCATGATCAGTTCTGTTTGCGACAGCAATCAACTAACCACTTACACTTCTGTGGTAAGCTCAACTCATGCCGCACAGACCTTTTACGTCTTTGAAATGTGTAGTATTTATGTAGGCCTATAACCCGTGCAGCTTTCAGTGGGCGGGACAGTTTGAAATAATTAATAAAGAAACATGGAAGAATGAGAAAGTAAAGAGCAGGATGTGCTTGTTATGAAGTCTCATATATCAGTTGAATTCTTTCTCAAGCTCAGTCTGTAACTGCAGGATGGAAAGGTAAGTTCGATACCAACGGTCGACTAAAATTTCTTCGTAAACTTCATGCCTTGGACTTAAGCCCCATTGGCTAATATTGGCCACAACCCACTGCGCTTTGGCGAAGGGTTCCGTTTAGAACTACAAACACAAATAAATAGGGTGACCAGACGTCCCGTTTTTCCCGGGACAGTCCCGTATTTCAGCTCTATTTTTAATGTCCCGACTTATTTTGAAAAAAATCATGTTTTGTCCCGTATTTTAAAATTTCTTTATGACTGGGTGATCCGAGATATTTGTAGTTTTAACACATTTTATTTGAAATAAAGTGTGTTAAAAACTACAAATATGGCGGATGTATGCGAACAATGGTTAAGTAGAGAGGTTCAGATAAAGGGGTTAAAGTTACTAATAATCAACATTTAACCTGGTTAAAAATATTTATTTAATATTATCCTTGTTATAGTCTATTTCATCTGCAACAACAATGCGAACTCTTAAATGCATCATTATGCATAAAATGCAAAAAAAAAAGTTCTCCTGTATGAACGACCCACAGCTGGCAGAACAACGTGCTACTTCTTTTCTCTCTGATATGGTAGGAAGTTAAATTAAATGAAATGTGGAGGATGTTAACTGTAACAGGTTGATTGACAGGCCAGTTTACAGTGACAGGATGCGCGTAACTATGCAATATAACGCAAAAGAGTGGTCCGAAACACCCAATTTTATGACGCGATATCATGGGCGTTGCTAGGCCATTTTTAGGGGGGCTATAGTATAGTAGTCTATATAGTAAAATTTTGTGTGTGTACAGTAAACATGTGTGTGTGTGTGTGTGTGTGTGAGAGAGAGAGAGAGATCATGAATACTTGCATTTGGCTTATTCAGTTATAGGCTATGTTATACCTATCTATGCAATAGAGTGGAATACTGCACTTTTTGGTATATAAATTTAGCATACCACCCCTATTATATA